TCCTTTCAAAAAATTTCAATTATGTTTTGCTAATTACAAAGTCATTCATTAAAGTTTCAAAGACATGTTAATTTTTTTCCACTTCTCAACAATTGACTGATGCCATGCCATTTCACAATTTATTCCTTGCTAATTCTTTTTTCACTTTATTTCTGAAAACAAAACCCAAATGACACTTCTCAAGGGATTCCTAATGTTTTCATCCAATTATTCACATGAGCTTCAAAACAAACCTATTTATAGCCCCAACCTTTGTCCTGTTGTGTAGATTTAGGAACTTTTCCCTTTTGGCCATTCACTCATTTCAGTTCAATTTAAACATATTATACTGTGAATATTTTACATTCAATAAATCAACCCGGTGAACAGGTTAATTAGAGCCAATATGGGATTCATACATACCACTCAAATATGTGTTTCAGATTTTGGGTATTAAGGAATAAAACATTGCATGATGTATCCCACTATGAAGTTCTTGTGTCTTCTAAAGTACAGAGGCATTTATCTGTTAAAGGGATTTCCAATGTAAAGAGCCATTTTATGAATTAGGCGATTTAGCAAAACAAGGCATTTACAAATTGTCACCACCTTGTAAGTTTAATTGCAAATTGTTACATGCCGCAAATTGGTACAGGCTCCAAACACAAATTGTTACATGCCCGAATTGGTACAGGCTCCAAACACAAATTGTTACATGCCCGAATCGGTAAAGGCTCCAAACACAAATTGTTACATGCCCGAATTGGTACAGGCTCCAAACACAAATTGTTACATGCCGCAAATTGGTACAGGCTCCAAACACAAATTGTTACATGCCGCAAATTGGTACAGGCTCCAAACACAAATTGTTACATGCCGCAAATTGGTACAGGCTCCAAACACAAATTGTTACATGGCGCAAATTGGTACAGGCTCCAAACACAAATTGTTACATGCCGCAAATTGGTACAGGCTCCAAACACAGATTGTAACATGCCGCAAATTGGTACAGGCTCCAAACACAAATTGCTACATGCCGCAAATTGGTACAGGCTCCAAACACAAATTGTTACATGCCGCAAATTGGTACAGGCTCCAAAAACAAATTGTTACATGCCCGAATTGGTAAAGGCTCAAAAAAAAATTGTAACATGCCGCAAAATGGTACAGGCTCCAAACACAAATTGTTATAGATGCTGGATGTCATCAAGAAAAGAGACTTTTAACAATATATGGAGACATGTGTCTAAATTAGCATTCATCTTAGGACAAGCATATTTGTGAATGAGATGCTTCAACCTCCATAAAGTTATGTTGACAGAAGCACATGTTTGCTCTACATATTCACCAAGCCACAATATGTGTCATCCAGATAAACAAGCAAATATCTAATAATAGTTCATTAGTACATGTCTGTAAGCAGTACATGTCTGTAAGCAGTACATTTGTATAATAGTTCATTTGTACATGTCTGTAAGCAGTACATTTGTACATCGAACTCAAGACTGGCATTATTCAAGATGATGAATTCATAATGAATTATATGCAAACAAATTCATAAAAATACATGTTTCAATATAAAACAAATAATCAATAAATCAACACCAATCAACTACCAATGAACACTCAATCAGTCAAGCAGTTCAATGATTTAAGCACATTAAATGGATGATCAATCAAACAAGAGAACTACTGCCAAACAATGTACTATCAACCAAATAACAATCAACCAAACAACAAGGAGCAATCAATTAATAACTTTCAAACAAGTATAAAATATCAATCAGCTAACAACAAACTATCAAACAACAGGTACCTGTCAATCAAATAACTCTTACTTGTTGAAGACATTTACTATAATTGAAATATATTATCACAAATCTTATAATTAAATTAGAATGAAATCCTTACCTTTCACTTCCTCAAAAGATTGACTCCCTAACAATGAATCCTCCTCATATACACCAACTTTGACAAACAAATCTGACAGAACAAAAACTGAAGAAGATTTTAGGCAGCAACTGGCTACACTATATTGCAACTGAATCAAGTTGAATGTAGCTGTAATTTGAAATGAAAACTGAATTGAAACCACTACTCACTCACTTCAGCCAGGGCTGCTTTACCAAGAGCCCTCACAAAAATACATAGGTCTCATTATTCATTTCAGGTCTCTATCAAAAATTATGGTTTGCACATACTTTTTGATAATTGAGGTATAATTAGTCAGATTATACTATTGTATTCTATGACCCATGATATTTTGTAGTTTTATTTATTCTGTGAGAGCAATAATATGAAAATGTGATTATTTCAAGGGCAATAGTGCTTCATAGACAGTGATATCTTTTCTTTAGGCCTCTAATATTAAAATGTGATTAACAGAAATCTACTGCAGTCCTATAATGACAATATTCCAATCTAGATTTATACTGTATTTAAATATATATATATTTAAGAACATGTTTATTTTTAACATGTTTCACCTTGAAACATGTACTATTAATGAGCCCTTTCCCTAATTGTATTATAAATTGCTTCACTTTTTAACGGAAAGGATTGAAAATTTGAGTCCTTTTAACTCATATTAAATTATCATATAAAATGTTACGTATCAGTTAAAGAAATAAAATCAGAGTAAAGAAATACATTTTGTAAACTATAAAACATGGACTTACTGACAATATGACTAAGCTTTATGATGAATAGCTAGATAAACTGTATCGCAATGACATTTCCAACTTATAATTTTATGAAAACACACACTGACAAGTTTTCAATGTTTTGTCTTGAAACAAATCCCTATATCACCCCCCCCCCCCCCCAACATTACACAATCATGAATCCCCTAATTGACCCTTCTGATATTACCCCCTATGTAACCCCTTATATAAGCCTCTGGCTATATTAACCCACACTTAATATTCCTCAAAGCTTATAATGTGTGCCAATAGGCTGTAATTATACAAAGAAGATGTAATTCAAAGACTAATAAGTTAATTTTATGAAGTAGGATTCATCTCTGAAGTAGGATATATATTATCCCTGCTAATTCTCAGTAAACATAAAATAATATAAGGGTGAATCAAATTCAAAAAATGTACATATACAAAATAAACATATTAACAAAAAAATGTATTCACTAAAGACCTTGGCCTTAAAAAGGTGCCAGATATACTGTAAAACAAAGTATATTACTGAATGGTTTATGGAAATATTTTGGGCTTTTGTAGCTAAAAATAACTGCAATGACGTACATGGCTTGATAAAATAACCCGCATTTCAAGTTTTAATCTTATTTCATAGTGACTTTAGATCAATGGGCTGTCGTTGAAAGATATAAATGAGTATGCACAAAGTATTGAACAATTAATAATTATTTCAGGGGCTTTCTCAGTCTCTATTTCTATAAAACTTTTGCTTTTCTGTATTTGCTTTAATTTTCATAATGTCTTCTTTGCCTATTCCTCACATTTTCTGATCCTGAGAATGCCAAACAAGGACTATGAAATTGATTCATTCAGAAGTATATCCATAAGAGTCTACTTGATTAGATATAGCTGATATCTCTTCAAGAAGTAAAGCCCAGTTTTATATACATCTGAATACTTGATATGGTCAACTTTTATCTCCCTCAAACGCTTGATAAAAGTATTAATGAAATAAGTGGAGGAATATTAGTTAAATAAATGAAAGATAAATGTTCAAAGTATTTTCAAAGCTGTCATGGTTGACACAATAGTGTACACTGAATTTTAGTAATACAATATGTATATAGAATCAAAGAAGTTTGACTCATGTTTTGTACATTTCAACACAAAGTGTTAAATCCTTTTAAACAGTTCATCAACAGCACCAAGTGAAATAAAAGATGTATGTCATTACAAACCTTGACCCTAAATTTAACTTTGAGATAAAATACTTGAGGGATATCATCAAAAACACAATTTTATACCAAATGGGTGACCTTCCCAGCATTGGATCAACTGGGTGCTGCACCCTCTTAAATATTCAGGAATTGCATGCCACCCTATTGAAAATCCAAGAATTGCATGCCACCCTATTGAATATCCAGGAATTGCATGCCATCCTATTGAATATCCAGGAATTAGATGCCACCCTATTGAATATCCAGGAATTGCATGCCACCCTGTTGAAAAGCCAAGAATTGCATGCCACCCTATTGAAAATCCAAGAATTGCATGCCACCCTATTGAATATCCAGGAATTGCATGCCATCCTATTGAATATCCAGGAATTGCATGCCACCCTATTGAAAATCCAAGAATGGCATGCCATTCTGTTGAAAATCCAAGAATTGCATGCCACTCTATTGAAAATCCAAGAATTGCATGCCACTCTGTTGAAAAGCCAAGAATTGCATGCCACCCTATTGAATATCCAGGAATTGTATGCCACCCCATTGAATATCCATGAATTGCATGCCACCCTATTGAAAAGCCAGAAATTGCATGCCACCCTATTAAAAATCCAAGAATTGCATGCCACCCTATTGAATATCCAGGAATTACATGCCACCCTATTGAATATCCATGGAATTGCATGCCACCTTATTGAATATCCAGGAATTGCATGCTAACCTAATGAAAAGCCAGGAATTGCATGCCACCCTATTGAAAATCCAGGAATTGCATGCCACCCTATTGAATATCCATGGAATTGCATGCCACCTTATTGAATATCCAGGAATTGCATGCTAACCTATTGAAAAGCCAGGAATTGCATGCCACCCTATTGAATATCAAGTAATTGCATGCCACTGTGTTGAATACCCATGAATCGCATGATCGCAGAATTCCCTATAGGACAGATGTACCATGCCAGGAGCACCATGCCAATCTATTATAACATCTGATAAAAGGCTTGCATTATAAGTATGTAGTTATATGTAACTAGCGACATCTATAAAACAAAAAAAGAATTTGATTTTAAATTAAATGCTGACTTTTATGAATATTTTATCGATTTGCAACTCTTATAAGCAGAAGATAATCACTTACCTTTCCTAGGACGGCCAACCTGGCTAGGGCAACTAGTGGGGTAAGAATGAGCTGTCTGAGGGGGATTGTACGTCTTAAAAAAGTAGGAATTTGGCACGTGGGGTCTTCTCCCGACAGCAGTTGTTTTTGGACGAACATCATCTGGAAATGATGCCATAATCTCAGCTTGGTGTGGATTGCGATAACTCCTAAAAACAATAATGAAAAAACATTTAAAAACATTCAAAAAGCTGATTTAACAAAAACTGGATACAGGGCAGCTAACAGAAATACGGATGAGTGTGCGATAATTGTATGATATGGTAATGGTATGCCCTTGCATAATATAGTAACGGTATGCCATTGCATAATATAGTAACGGTATGCCATTGCATAATATGGTAATGGTATGCCCTTGCATAATATGGAAATGGTATGCCATTGCATAATATGGAAATGGTATGCCATTGCATAATATGGGAATGGTATGCCATTGCACAATATAGTAATGGTATGCCACTGCATAATATGGTAATGGTATGCCCTTGCATAATATGGAAATGGTATGCCATTGCATAATATGGTAACGGTATGCCATTGCATAATATGGTAACGGTATGCCATTGCATAATATGGTAATGGTATGCCATTGCATAATATGGTAATGATATGCCCTTGCATAATATGGAAATGGTATGCCATTGCATAATATGGTAATGGTATGCCCTTACATAATATAGTAACAGTATGCCATTGCATAATATGGTAATGGTATGCCCTTGCATAATATGGAAATGGTATGCCATTGCATAATATGGAAATGGTATGCCATTGCATAATATGGGAATGGTATGCCATTTCACAATATGGTAATGGTATGCCACTGCATAATATGGTAATGGTATGCCCTTGCATAATATGGAAATGGTATGCGATTGCATAATATGGTAATGGTATGCCATTGCATAATATGGTAACGGTATGCCATTGCATAATATGGTAATGGTATGCCATTGCATAATATGGTAATGGTATGCCCTTGCATAATATGGAAATGGTATGCCCTTGCATAATATGGAAATGGTATGCCCTTGCATAATATGGAAATGGTATGCCATTGCATAATATGGTAATAATATTAAAAAAATATATTCAGGGTGGGCCAAAAAAAACAATACCCATTAAGTTTAAGGATGAGTATCATATGATAAAACGTTAAACCATGCCATGTATTGTATATCATTTTAAAGAAAAATCATTTTCTATTTCCTAACAATATGACACCATCTGATTGAAAAAACATTGTTTCCTTGTGGAGTTGACACCACAGGTGTCAAGAGCGACCAAAAAATTATTCATTTTGGATTTCCAAATTGTGGAAAATGGAGGGAAATTTGAACTTTGGCATCTCCAGAAGAGATACATTTATAGAAGTATAGTACAAAATTCAGCAATAATACTTATATATTTTTTAATCAATATTTATTTTTTAATCAATTATCAATTGTGTATTTATGATGATTCAGTCAAGCATATTGAGTGCAGCTGTGACTAAAATATCGAGGGAAATTTGGGAAGTTTAATTTTTTATTTTAGGTCGCCCACGCCCCACTCACGGCACCCCTGGTGTAAATTTTAGTCCCTAACTTCACGAGAAAACAAAGGTTTTTCAATTAGATAGTGTCATTTTGTTAAGTTACCATTTATTTTTAAAATGATATATAATACATGGCATGGTTTAACATATATCATATGAATCATTCATCTTTAAACTTGGGTATTGTTTTTTGGCCCACCCTGTATAACAAAAAAAATATACATGTGTAATAGTGTTTGGTACATGTATAGTGTGTTAAGTTTGTATGAAAGATACAGAGTCAATTTCATTTGCTATCTGTGGAAGAGCCTAAACAAGACAACAACATGACAATAATATAGCACTTTTTCAGAGTGCATTAAAAACATACAACAGATGAATTATTCCATGTAGTACTCTTAGAACTGTTTACAGCTCTGTTATAACCATAGATGATGAGAATCATATAACTATTGACTTACTTAACTGAGAATCCAGTGTAATTTTGAGCTCGGTTTTTACTCATTTCGTAATATTTTCTTTGTGGTAGTAAACTATGAAGTGCTTCAATGTTGCCCTGGAAACAGATTGACATTTAAAAATCACAGTCATTAACATACATAATACGTAGATCATATCAGTATAATTGCCATATTTGGAAGCGTATCAGTATAATTGCTATATTTGAAAGCATATCAGTATAATTGCCATATTTGGTCATATCAGTGTAATTGCCATATTTGGTCATATCAGTATAACTGCCATATTTTGTCATATCAGTACAATTGCCATATTGGAAAGCACATGCATCGCAAGGGGTCGAATCAAAAAGGGTTGGTTTAATGATCAAAATTGACCAATTCATACTTTATATATAATTCTGGAAATGATTAAAGCCAGAGTTAACAAAACAGGCTTTTAATTGTATACTTTCTTTTTCTATTCTTGTACCTCCATGGCATCCAATAATAACTATTTCATCATATTGCGTCTTTCAAGGTCATACTTTTTAGTGTTGTAGCCATTCACTGTTCAGTTCTGTTTTTTCAATTGCAGTTCTATTATCATAATAAATGAATTACTTAAGTTATAACTGCTCTACATTAGGTTAAGCAACACCAATGTTTGTGGCCGAATTCATTATTTTGTATTTTATGAATTACAAGAAAACTCTACAGTACTTACATGGCACACTTTCTTATAACACTCCTCAAGTCTACTTACATGGCACACTTTCTTATAACTCTCCTCAAGTCTACTTACATGGCACACTTTGTTATAACGCTCCTCAAGTCTACTTACATGGCACACTTTCTTATAACACTCCTCAAGTCTACTTACATGGCACACTTTCTTATAACTCTCCTCAAGTCTACTTACATGGCACACTTTGTTATAACGCTCCTCAAGTCTACTTACATGGCACACTTTGTTATAACACTCCTCAAGTCTACTTACATGGCACACCTTCTTATAACACTCCTCAAGTCTACTTACATGGCACACTTTCTTATAACACTCCTCAAGTCTACTTACATGGCACAGTTTCTTATAACCCTCCTCAAGTCTACTTACATGGCACACTTTCTTATAACACTCCTCAAGTCTACTTACATGGCACACTTTCTTATAACACTCCTCAAGTCTACTTACATGGCACACTTTCTTATAACACTCCTCAAGTCTACTTACATGGCACACCTTCTTATAACACTCCTCAAGTCTACTTACATGGCACACTTTCTTATAACACTCCTCAAGTCTACTTACATGGCACACTTTCTTATAACACTCCTCAAGTCTACTTACATGGCACACTTTCTTATAACACTCCTCAAGTCTACTTACATGGCACACCTTCTTATAACACTCCTCAGGTCTACTTACATGGCACACTTTCTTATAACACTCCTCAAGTCTACTTACATGGCACACCTTCTTATAACACTCCTCAAGTCTACTTACATGGCACACTTTCTTATAACACTCCTCAAGTCTACTTACATGGCACACTTTCTTATAACACTCCTCAAGTCTACTTACATGGCACACTTTCTTATAACACTCCTCAAGTCCGGTAACTTCATTTCTTCCTGTCGAGACTCTTTGAACCTCACCAGCGATTGTATCAGACAAAGGGGTTGCCTTGGTTTCACTCTTATAACTGGTCATTGATTGGTCAGTGTTGTTGGCATTTAAGTACTCAAGGTGACTGATTCCATCGTTTGTTGATGTTGTGAAATGCCGTGGAGTTTTTCTAAAAAAAAACGTAAACACTAAAATGATATCCAAATTGGAACATGATTGTGCATTAAACACTAAAATGATATCCTAATTGGAACATGATTGTGCATTAAACACTAAAATGATATCCTTATTGGAACATGATTGCGCATGCATATACATGTACATTTTGAGTTGACCTCCTCAACAACTGTTGACAAGGCTGGAACATGGTCAACAAACTTTACCCAGCAAGCCCAAAACAAATAAGTTTGAGTTCTTCTAAAAACAAGAATCGCTGAAAATTACAAATCTGCAAATCAATCGGTCAAGCAATTTGTCTTATCTACATCTATCATACTACTGTACTACTGTTCTTAAAGTGTTGACAATCACTCATTTGTCTGATCTACATCTATCATTCTACTGTACTACTGTTCTTCAAGTGTTCACAATCACTCATTTGTCTGATCTACATCTATCATTCTACTGTACTACTGTTCTTCAAGTGTTCACAATCACTCATTTGTCTGATCTACATCTATCATTCTACTGTACTACTGTTCTTCAAGTGTTCACAATCAGTCATTTGTCTGATCTACATCTATCATTCTACTGTACTACTGTTCTTCAAGTGTTCACAATCACTCATTTGATTCAATTTGTCTGATGTACATCTATCATACTACTGTACTACTGTTCTTCAAGTGTTCACAATCACTCATTTGTCTGATCTACATCTATCATTCTACTGTACTACTGTTCTTCAAGTGTTGACAATCACTCATTTGTCTGATCTACATCTATCATTCTACTGTACTACTGTTCTTCAAGTGTTCACAATCACTCATTTGTCTGATCTACATCTATCATTCTACTGTACTACTGTTCTTCAAGTGTTCACAATCAGTCATTTGTCTGATCTACATCTATCATTCTACTGTACTACTGTTCTTCAAGTGTTCACAATCACTCATTTGATTCAATTTGTCTGATGTACATCTATCATTCTACTGTACTACTGTTCTTCAAGTGTTCACAATCACGCATTTGTCTGATCTACATCTATCATACTACTGTACTACTGTTCTTCAAGTGTTCACAATCACTCATTTGATTCAATTTGTCTGATGTACATCTATCATACTACTGTACTACTGTTCTTCAAGTGTTCACAATCACTCATTTGTCTGATCTACATCTATCATTCTACTGTACTACTGTTCTTCAAGTGTTGACAATCACTCATTTGTCTGATCTACATCTATCATACTACTGTACTACTGTTCTTCAAGTGTTCACAATCACTCATTTGTCTGATCTACATCTATCATACTACTGTACTACTGTTCTTCAAGTGTTCAGAATCACTCATTTGTCTGATCTACATCTATCATTCTACTGTACTATTGTTCTTCAAGTGTTCACAATCAGTCATTTGTCTGATCTACATCTATCATACTACTGTACTACTGTTCTTCAAGTGTTCACAATCACTCATTTGTCTGATCTACATCTATCATACTACTGTACTACTGTTCTTCAAGTGTTCACAATCACTCGTTTGTCTTATCTACATCTATCATTCTACTGTACTACTGTTCTTCAAGTGTTCACAATCACTCATTTGTCTGATCTACATCTATCATTCTACTGTACTACTGTTCTTCAAGTGTTCACAATCACTCATTTGTCTGATCTACATCTATCATACTACTGTACTACTGTTCTTCAAGAGTTCACAATCACTCATTTGTCTGATCTACATCTATCATACTACTGTACTACTGTTCTTCAAGTGTTGACAATCACTCATTTGTCTGATCTACATCTATCATTCTACTGTACTACTGTTCTTAAAGTGTTCACAATCACTCATTTGTCTTATCTACATCTATCATTCTACTGTACTACTGTTCTTCAAGTGTTCACAATCACTCATTTGTCTGATCTACATCTATCATTCTACTGTACTACTGTTCTTCAAGTGTTCACAATCACTCATTTGTCTGATCTACATCTATCATACTACTGTACTACTGTTCTTCAAGTGTTCACAATCACTCATTTGTCTGATCTACATCTATCATTCTACTGTACTACTGTTCTTCAAGTGTTCACAATCACTCATTTGTCTGATCTACATCTATCATTCTACTGTACTACTGTTCTTCAAGTGTTCACAATCAGTCATTTGTCTGATCTACATCTATCATTCTACTGTACTACTGTTCTTCAAGTGTTCACAATCACTCATTTGATTCAATTTGTCTGATGTACATCTATCATACTACTGTACTACTGTTCTTCAAGTGTTCACAATCACTCATTTGTCTGATCTACATCTATCATACTACTGTACTACTGTTCTTAAAGTGTTCACAATCACTCATTTGTCTGATCTACATCTATCATTCTACTGTACTACTGTTCTTCAAGTGTTCACAATCAGTCATTTGTCTGATCTACATCTATCATTCTACTGTACTACTGTTCTTCAAGTGTTCACAATCACTAATTTGATTCAATTTGTCTGATCTACATCTATCATTCTACTGTACTACTGTTCTTCAAGTGTTCACAATCACTCATTTGATTCAATTTGTCTGATGTACATCTATCATACTACTGTACTACTGTTCTTCAAGTGTTCACAATCACTCATTTGTCTGATCTACATCTATCATACTACTGTACTACTGTTCTTCAAGTGTTCACAATCACTCATTTGTCTGATCTACATCTATCATACTACTGTACTACTGTTCTTCAAGTGTTTACAATCACTCATTTGTCTGATCTACATCTATCATACTACTGTACTACTGTTCTTCAAGTGTTCACAATCACTCATTTGATTCAATTTGTCTGATGTACATCTATCATACCACTGTACTACTGTTCTTCAAGTGTTCACAATCACTCATTTGTATGATCTACATCTATCATACTACTGTACTACTGTTCTTCAAGTGTTGACAATCACTCATTTGTCTGATCTACATCTATCATACTACTGTACTACTGTTCTTCAAGTGTTCACAATCACTCATTTGTCTGATCTACATCTATCATACTACTGTACTACTGTTCTTCAAGTGTTCAGAATCACTCATTTGTATGATCTACATCCATCATACTACTGTACTACTGTTCTTCAAGTGTTCACGATCACTCATTTGATTCAGTTTGTTTTTATAAAGATGTTCAATTGCTGAACACAACTGAGGATTTTGGGCTGTTTGGTTGTGCTATGACATTCAACACACAACTCCACATACATGTAAATATATTTATCTTTATAAATCCTATTCCTACTTCATGAATTAATAGCTTTGGAGACCTTTTGTAGCATGTATTTGCCATTTATATGTTTTTATTATCAATTTCATTTATCTTGCTTCAGTTAAGTGCTAACATTGCAAATAATGTATGTGTGTTTTCAACACTAAGGGATGTTGTCCAAATATCATATTTGCGGAGTTAGATCATTTATTTTGTTAGGGTGTATATTACATCTTCATTTATAAAGAATGTTAATTTTGTTTTTAATTCAGATGAACGGCAAATCTAAATATCATTATATCCTAGGAATGGGAGGGGTAAAACCATAATAAAATTTACTCCCCTCTTCAAAATTGTATGTATTTTGGGATATCATCCCTAAAGGTGAATAAACAAAATAAGTACAATCATTATTTACTAAAGTAATAACATCTATTTCAATATTCCATGGTGTTATGATACATGCTTACCTTGTTGCACAGGTTGCTCATAACAAAACTGCAAAATGAATCACCAAAATGGACTTGGTATGAACTGTGCCTTTATGGCTTTATTTTTGATATCAGGTAGGTTAATATCAAAGACAATGAGGTTTACTAGAATGGACTTAATATGAGTTTTATTCCGAACATGCTATCATATTGACTCTGAATAGCATCATGGTTTAAAACTGCATGCTTTTAATAAATTTAGGGCGTATTCTGTATAAGTGGTAATTTTGCCTAATCATTTAATTTGCCTATTTTTTGCCAGGTTCGGAAAATTAAATGTCGGATTTAATACAACTTATACAGTTATAAATGTTATGTCTCTATTTTTGAATTCATATAATTGCTTACAATTATTTCTATGTCCCCACCACATAGTGTGGGGCCATATCTTGGTGTCAGGTCCCCTTCTTTTCTTATGGCATTTGAAGTAAATCAGACAACGTCATAATAATTAGTACAATTACATTTGTCTAAACTTTCCTCAATTAATGAAAAATAGTAGTTTATTTATTTATTTTTTTTATTAAAATTTTTATTCCAAAAAATATAACATATGAACAGATAATACATTAAAAATATATATACAATACAGGTACAGAAAAACACTTAACTTACTTCTTATAAAATATTACAAAAAACTTACTTCTTATAAAATATTACAAATTCTTTTTAACATATCAAAATCCATATTGAATTTATTTAGTAGAAATACACTGTTGTAAGATAAAAGGTCTGATAAAACTTGCTGTCTAAAATTAATTTGTCTCAAGACATCTGGCTTTTCATTAAGGTTTGTCCATCTTTTATATATTGAATTTGCAACAATAGTTAAAATAATATTTCTGTTTCTAGTTTTTCTGTCTATTGTGCTAAAACCAACAACAATGTGTTTCCACTGAACATTAAAATTCGAAATATCTCCAACATCTTCCCAAATATTTCTAACCTTCTGGCAATCAAAAATAAGATGTTTCGCCGTGTGATTTTCATTACAAAAAATGCAGGTTGAACTTATATTTCTGTTCCATTTACTAATCATGTATCCACAGTATAAACAATTATGAAGAATTTTAAAATTAAAATCAGAAATCTTTTTACATGGCATTTCTTTTATTTTTTGCGTGTATATGATTTTGAAATAATTATTTGTATTTTCAAAATTGAACATTGTACTCCAAACATTTTCTAAATTTGATCTCTCGAACTGTTTATTTCTTAATATATTATAGAAAAACTTTGACTTTTTTCCTTCTAATTT